CCACAGAATCACATTATTTTTATCACAAATATACATCCGAGAACTGGATTTCGTTTCCTCCCTGTAAATAAAACAAATGTAGGCTAATTTCAGCCATTTCCCCATTCGTTTGCACAAGAAGTCTCAATCACTCCAACAGTAAGTTAAGTTAATTTGTTTTACTTACCGAAAATCATGAGTTGGGTGCTTTGCACTTGCCTAATTGTGGATAGCCTAATTTAACAACTTGCTGTGATAACTAACCTTCCCACATTAAGGGGGCCACAACCCTAATTAGGTAGTTCCACCATTAATCTAGACGCTTACCTCGCCTTATTGTTTTGACCTACCGCACCACTCTTCGTTTCAACCCCTTGCGTCAGCCACCAGCGTGCCGTACGACCGCCCTTACCCCTTGTTTGTTTAGATGACTCCCTACTACCACGAAATAATAACACACGGCTGACAATGGCACATAACAATGGCCCTGTTCTCGGTCACAGAGTCGACAGACTCCCCGACGCCCGACCGTTTATTATTTCCCACCCAAAACGGGCAGAAGATTGCCGGATTGTTCGTAATAACTACCCACTCTCATTCACGGCTTTGGGCTTGAAAACGCTTTGTTGTAACCCGCCAATATACGGAAATCACCACGACCTCTTTCTGAAATGTATACGCCTGGGTATGCGGTCTCCGAGTGCGTGCTAGTTACACAAATTAGAGACACTTGTCTGTTGTGAAGTTGTGAGAGTGCTTATTATTACTTAACGGTTTCATGAGCAAGCTCACGGCTGTCCACATCACCAAATACAAACAGGGCTGCCAGAGGTAAAGGTCCCGGTGATATCACTATACTGTCAGGTACTTCAGTGTCCAGCGTGAAAATCAGTTAAAGCAGGGAGACATTAAGAACACACGCACACTATATGAGGGAACATTCTTTGGATGTTATAGCAAACTCAACTTTGGTATAGACGGCTCTCATTGCGTATTCCCAAGGGTAGTTGAAGTGAAACTTTGCCCTTGATTGGTGTCAGCTGTTATCTCAAACTTTACATTTGCCGTCTACTTTAAAAGATCGTATTTTCATTCAGTATTCGAAGTAGTGTGTATTACTTAGCGTTTGTTGCACTGACGACCAGCCACAGGTCTGCGGGGGGGGGGGGATGAAGTATATAGCTTCCATATAGGTTGACTCTGGTTAAGCCTCTTTTCCGTTGTCTTGCTGTTTACCATGGCACACGTGGCTACCCCAAGGTTAAGGTTGCCCTATGGAAGCCATGCACTCGAATGTATCCGAGAATTTTCTGGCAAAAGATGATGGCCCTGCATTACTGAATGTTTAGCGTGGCACGGGCTAGTAAACATGCCGAGGAAGGGGAGGGATTTGAAGGGGTGAATAATATAGAACTAAATTAAATTTAAAACAAGAGAGCGTCCCGTAAATTCTTCTTATGTGTACAAGGTAACGTAATGTAACGTTTTATCATCCTTCCCGCTTGTTCGCAGAAATGAGACATTAAAAAATATCTCCGACCGAACCCCCCCCAAGAAAAATTCCTTGATCCTCCCCTGATAAGACTCTTGGTCTTACATATAACAACGTAAAGGTGTTGCAATAAATATGTACAAATAACAAATAAACTCTGATTTCTCCGATTTTTTTTAGTTTCCATAGCCTCGCATTCACTTTTCCCCATCTGGAAATCCCCCGCAGCTATGAACAAACCAGAACGACACCCCCTCCCCTAAAAAAGAGAAAAACAACAAAATTCAGTCCTCAAGACCATGCGGTCAAATCAAGCAGAACCCGAACCATAAAAACAATCCAGCGGCTCAGGTTTTGCGAGTCTGGTGATTGGAAGCTAACGGGAGCAATGCCACTTATACCCTTTGCATCCAAGTCGACGAAAGGACAGCATGATTGCACGTGCCAAAGAAATCAAGCACATCGCCTGCGTCTCTCCCTCATCAGAGGTCATAATTCACCCATACAGAGTAATGAAAACACCAAATGAGTTTTGTATATCCGGCTGTTCATTCTCTCCCTGGTTCCTCGGCTATAATTGTTATATGGATCTCCGCTCCTTGATTAAAGACAGTTTTTTCTCCTCCTTTCCTCCGAGTTTCCCATCTTCTCGAGACAGATACACACACACACTCCGGCGGTGATTAGGCCTCCCTCGGCCCCGTCGCCAGATATGAATTAGCTTTCAGGTCGGATGTCCGTGTCATATCATGCATCGCTCCCGGGACAATTTTCTAAATTGAAAATAGTAACCTTCGCCGTGCGGAGTGTGTCTACCGTCTTGGGCCGATGACAACTCGAAATCCCGGCCGCTGATGCTCATCCCAGACAGCTTGTAGCGGGACCCATGTTTCTTGTTTCAAGGATTTTTTTTCTCTCCCTCTAGTTATTTTTTTTCTCTTGTCTTCTTTTCCTTCCGTCACTTTATTGCGTCTTTTTTTTGATTGCCCTGTTCTGTGTATTTTTTTTCTTGCATGAACTTCTACAGTGATAATTGCGAATTTGTTTGGGTAAGATTGACGGTTTGATATAAGAACCCCCAGTGTTTTCAACGGCTGGCAAAATGTGTACCAAGCCTCTGTGCTTTATTGTTCTATATGGAAGCTCTCTGAGATGGCTCAACGGTATTGGATGCAAACGAAACAAAAAAGGACATGGTGAAGTCTGTCAGTATTGTGTGAAAGGATGCAGATCTTAATAGGAAAGGAATATCCGAAACAGAAGTGATGGAATCCTAGCTGTGGGCTCTTATCTCTTACAGAATCAGATGACGGAGAGTGGTCTGGCACCCAACAATGATGAATTGAACTCAGGATATAGGAAAAGAACAGGTGAAAAGTGCGGCGGAGAGTTAAATTTGTGAGGGGGGAGGAATTGGGTCTGGTGGACGATAGGCTGTTGGCTTTGTGATTTATAAGCAAATGTGTTTAGGTGGTTATGTTATCTGTTCAGATATTAATTTACGGCCTAGAAAAGATCAACAGCATTCGTATTCAGAAAGTGGCACTTGCACACTGAACTCTAGGACGTTTCCAGTGTTGTGTTTCAGCAGTAAATTCTATTTTATTTTTCAGTTGTGTACCTTTTTTGCGAGACAGCTACATCTTTTGAAGCTATCATTAATGAGTACACAAAAAAGACAGATTTTTTTCTGAATTATTCTCTGTTAGGAAACTTGTCTGACTTCCGCAGGTGCCTGGAAGACGTCGGTGACTCAGCCGGCCAGCTTGCTGCCTGGGTCCGGGTCGACGGCAGGCAGAATACTGCCCGATGTCATTGCGATTGCATTACGATGCACTAGCGGGGCAAGCAGCCCCTTCGTGCGGGCGAGCCTCGTGGCTGTAGTGCGTGCGTGTGACTCTATCCCCGAGCCCGGAGACAAACCATTACTCCGGGCCCGCGTCGCCAAACTCCTTGATTATTTCAGGAGTTTAGTTTCATATCACTTTTTTTTCTTCGCTCTCTATACAGTCTTCCTTCTCCCTGAAGTCATTATTGTGGCTCATATACCTGGCATTGTCGATAAATAAGTCACAGAAGACTTTGGCTGCCTTTGAGATACAAGTCGGCGACCTCTCGAGGGGGTCAATTGTAATTTCAAAAGGCAGAAGGATGTTTTAGAAAAGGCAGGTTGAAACCTGAGCGGGTTTATTGTCTTGGTCTGGTGCCAATGCAAATACCAACACAATTTCACCAGACACAATCATTTAAATTGCAACCTTCAATAGAAGTGAGCTTGGTTTCAAATTTTTCCATAGTAAAAGGAAAAAATGGGTAAAAGTTACACGACACTACTTCTCCTAGATCTATGGGGAGAGAGTTATTGATATCTGAAAGTTTTAACCAACTCACCTTGGTTTATTAATGCTTCAATAGTCATAAGACATGAGAAAGTACACTATAGGGCAAATAGTATGGCCATCATAACACTGTAGCCTTAAGAAAGTACACTATAGGGCAAATAGTATGGCCATCATAACACTGTAGCCTTAAGAAAGTACACTATAGGGCAAATAGTATGGCCATCATAACACTGTAGCCTTAAGAAAGTACACTATAGGGCAAATAGTATGGCCATCATAACACTGTAGCCTTTTAATTTTGTTTCAGACCTCTTTATGCATTATTCCAGATTTTCTACACACGGAAGCGCTCTTGAAAACTGCAAAGACGTGAATTTAGCAGTTCCCAGTGATTCTATGCTGCGTCACCAAAAAAAGTGCAAGAATGAGGTGTGATATGATCCCCTCATGACCAACCCTTTTGTGGCCCGGCTGCGGCCCTCAACTGAGCACCTCGCTCATGTTTTACACCTGCTGATATGTTTTATTAAGAACTATACTCAATTTTGATGCAAACTTGGGCCTGGAATCAGTACTCTCTCTCTCTCTTTCTCGGTTATTTGCACAGTGCCATAGTCTCAGAAAACATGACTATTCTTCTTAGTATTTATTTGGGTTACATTTTTCTTCAACATTTGGTTGGAGATTCTACACTAGCTACAATAAAATTTGAATTCGCAAACCGTTAGAAACCGCAAATATTGCTAAAATTAACCAGAAATCTGTTTAACTTTAACACACTGTTAGAACTGAGAAGAAAAATACAGACGCAAATAGCATCGCTTTAGGGTGATGGTCAGTCACACTTTCGCTCCTTTCCTGGGGCGATTTCGGCCTCCCAATCGACTTGTCGGTCCAAAATAAAAACAATGTCATACTTAGTATCCCTATTTGTTTGCTATAGGTCCAAACAAATGGTGTCCTTGTTTTACTCCCATGTGTACAAGTGCACTGCTATTATGGCTCACTGGCGAAAGAAGAGAATCGAATTTCTTCCACGTATCGAATTAATCAACCACCAACATCGGCGTCCCGACACGAGACAGCAAAAAGTTGGAAAGGAAACACCGCGACGTTTGTACTGCGCATGGGCGCCAGGCCCCACCGCCAGTATCCTGGCGCAGTGTCATGTTGTGTACTACCAACAAAGCTATGCGGCTGGCTGGTTGGTTGTTCAACCATGACCGTCATATGGATGAAAACAGCTCTCTGATTCCCTCAGAACTCCGAGAGTAGAGCTTCATATGAGGACCTCCACTTATGTAGACGTGGGATTTTCGACTGCAAACCTGCTGGGAACAGTTCGGTGATAAGTTCCTTTCCGCCGAGGTCTTGCTTATGCAACTACATTGTGAAACCTTCAAATGATCTCGTGTCGCGAATAGTTTAACTAGAGTCAGTCATCTGCGTAACCTGTTTTCCGTCGAGTTGCCGTAGCCCTCGTTACGCCAGGGACCGTTTCACCGAGTCGGTGCCACTACGGTACACCGTCTAATACGCCACTCTGTTCCCATGAGGAGACAGAGCATGGCCCTGCTCAGCTCAGGCTACCCGGCCGCTTTTCAAGGTGGACTACCGTGCAGCGGGCTCTTTTCGCTAGGTGTGCCTGGCGCGTCGACCCCGCTGCCGTACCCCAACCTGTCCCTGATGAGGGTCCCGCCGCACCTTCCCATGGGCTTCGCGGTAGCCAATCTCTCCGCTGCTTACCTCCAGTCGCCCCAGTCCCGGTCGGACTCGGAATTCTCGGCCGTTCTGTCCAAGCACCACCAGCAGCATCACCAGTACCCCCAGCAATCCCAGCTTAATCCCACCCTTGCCCAGACTACCAACTCCTCGCCCAAACGCAAAGGTGTCACGAACTTCTCGATTGCCGGTATCCTGGGCCGGGACGAGGACGCCAAAGCCACCGAGAAATGTACAGAGACTAGCCCGCCAAAGACGGCGCGCGCGCCCGAGGAATCCTCGGCGAACGATCCGGAGCTGGAGTCCAAAGTGCACGTGAAAACAGAATGCTTGAGTTCTCCAAAAGGTGATGAGGAGGAAACGGACAACCCTCTAACCAGATTTTCCTGGCTACAGTGCACAAGATATAAGCCACCTCGATTGCCAAGTAAGTTTTAGGAATAAAATTAAAGACATTTTTGAACACGAGGAATGGAACATTTGACATGGCTCAAAGTGAAAGATGCTTGAAGTAAAGAGCCTGTAGCGAATAACTTTTATTAGAATTTCATATCACTGCACCAAAATGACTGTACATATTGTTTGTTAGACATGCATTTCTTTCCATTTCTGTAAGCACTTTTTATTGATGTTGGTTTCCCTTCCCGTAAACTGCGCAGGCATCCTGATGGGATACCAGGGAGGAAGAGTTATTTCAAAGACTGCAATAATATTGAAGAAACCTAACAAAAGAAAGAAGAAAAACAAATTCATAAAATAAACCTCTACATGATAAAAAGTGAAACCAGCGATTAAAATAAAAACAAATTACAGTACTTGTTTTGCTGTACATTTAAGTAAAAGAAAAATTCTTGACACCTTGTAGATATACACAAAAACTTACAAGAACTGCATCTGCTATTGGCAAAATAGTGGTTTTTCTTTCATCAGTCCTAAATGACATTGGGATTTCCTTTTTTTCCTGACATATTAAACTTAGGTCTCTTTGCAACAGCTTGCTTCCATCGAAAAAAAGCTCTGGGAATTGATATGCGTGTTTTATGAGCTACATGGATTACACGTATAATCGATTATCAGTTTTCAAAGGAATAATTTATAAAAATGTTTTTTTTTTGTATCTATCACTAACAAAAAAATATTACCTATAATATATACCTATTGTGGTCAGTATTTCACGTTCCCAACGGTTTACGGGAGCACCGATCCATTTCTCGGAGTAAGGACAGCACAATTATGAATTTCCCGCAACCTTTTCCATTTTCTCTCGAAAAAAAAATCCAGCTGATTCCCTGACCTAGTGGGAAAGAAATTAGTGCAAATATTCAGCATTTTATACGCATTTCATCTTTACTCTAATTCCGGCAGGACCAGCTAATTATATAATTATAGTTCTTATGTCTGCGTCTCACATTTTTAAAAAAATTAAATTCTGTAACATAGCACTCAACATTCTGTATAATCGCATAAACTGTGTTGACAATCCATATAAAGCAAATATATTTATAAAAGAAATTCAAAGACATTGCCCTTGGCACGTTTTGTAATCTGTGGTGTAATAGGTTTAGTGAGCTTTCCAAATAAGGTTGGCCGTAAATATTCTCGGGTGTTGTTTGCAATTCCCTTTGTGTATCAAATCGGCAATAAACAGGCCACTGGTTTCTTCGTCTAATTAATTTCAGAAAGCCGAGCTCAAGTTTGATTTCCCTTGTCTCGTGTTTTTATTTCGTACATTATACCCACATTATCAAACAAACATGAGGTGATGGATGACTCTACACAGAGACTGTAGTCTCCCATGCCAGCCGGCAACCCAAGGGTATTTGACTGTAGGTTTAATTACTCCGATATCGACTCGTCGCGACGTCCCGTCATGCCGGGCCTCGTGACAGTGTGGTTTGTGCCGTTGAAGCTCTAGCGCTTATTTATGCGACCCGGACACTAATATCAGCCCAAAATCCTGATGCCCTTTTTTGATTTTTTTCTATAGTACCGGTACCGTTGAAGTGAATTCCATCTGATTTCTTTTTTGCTGAAGTAGATGTTGTATTATTGAACTCTTCGTGTTTTAATTTTTTCAGGATAAGAAATGTTTTATTTTTAAAAACAATTTGTTGGTATCTTGATCATGTTTGGGTGGTTCCAAAATAATTTGGGTAGTTCCAAACAGTAATTTGCTTTGTAAGTTAACCCAGTTAAAGTCTCTGCATCAATTTAAAGTCCATCAGTTAACTGCCTTGCATAGCAGGAAGGTTTTGGTTAATTTATTCATCCATATGGGGGCTGCCTCCTCGCACAGACTGTTCTGAATCGGAAGAACGAAGACATATTATTGCCACATTAGAACTGCCTATAGTGTAAGTCGAGCCTCGTGCCCACCGTGTACCGGGTGTTGAAATGTTGATTGTTAGATCAGTATTGCCCCTTTCAACACTGCCTGTGTTGCAATCAGGATGAGTGTTTTGTGGTTGTAAAAGAAGGGAGGACTTGTTTTATTTTGTTCTGTTTATGTAGGCCCTATAGTTGAAACGTAAAATTTCACAAATGTTACATTTTGTAACTTATCGGAAATTCCTGTAATTAGCCTTTTGTTTTGTACCGTAGCATTTTTATTGTCACCCATTTTATGACGAACTTCTTTTTTGAAAAGGTCGATCCCCGTTCCATGATGTTAGGGGTATTCTATTTGATTAATAGTTAACCCGGGTGTAGCTTCGTCCTGGGACCCATTACATCTGAATAACAGAGCTGAATAACCAGCGCCCAAAATGGATGCCAAATTTGCCAGACTGCAAAAAGGGAAACAAAACATACTGAAAGAGACGGATAAAACCTGAATGAATAATGTGGCTGTCTCATCTCTTTGTTGATTGGGTCTTCTCTAGCTTTCGACTGTCATTTCAATCAGCGTGCACCCCATCTCACCCCAGCAGGGGTACAATGAATATCCCTCTAAACCCACTGCTTTTCTTTTAGCCCGACTTGGTCCTCGCGATCGATCGGCGTTTCTGACATGGCGAGTTCTCCTAGCAGTCCTGGCACCAACTCAAGTCGATATCTAAACAAGACTACTTGTAAAGCAGTGGAGTCTTGTCATCCGTTTGGGCCGTTGGGGAACAGGGTTTACCAGAAGAGACAGAAGATCCCGCCTAATAATACACGCGGGGCCTCAACCTCTTTTTTCAAACATTTTGCTTGACAAGCTCATTAGAAGACAGATGGTTTGTTTCCTTAGTGTTGGAAATTGAACGGTTAAATGCTTGATGTATTCATTGGGTAAAATTCCGCAACCTAACCGCACGTTAACTTCACCACTTTATTATTTACTAGGATGTATATTTTGGCAACTGTGTTAACTACTTACATATTTTTGCATCAGTGGGTTGCTGTAAAACTCTCCTCGCAAAATACGGAGACAAACGCGGGTAGTTGGCGTTGTTCAAGGCAATGTGAGGCTGCGACGCGTGAAGACTGGCCCCATTTTTTCTCTTTCTTTTGCGCAACTGTTGTAAAGACGCGAATAGTAAAAAAAAACCACAAAGTATTTTTTTTCTCCCCATGAAACCTCGTTAATATTGGTCGGTTTTAGCAGGGATATTTATCACTCTGATTTGGGACCAAGTTTACTTAATAGATTTGCCTTTCTATAGAAAAAGAGATGAAAGGGATTTGTGTTTTGTTGTTTCGGATGGAAAAGCTGGAGACCAGAAAAAAATTCTTTTTATACTGCAGGACCATTTTTGAAATACTTCTTTAACTAAATCAACACATACAAAATATCACTAGACCGAGACAAACTCTATTTTACATCTACTTATGAGAATCTTTTCTACTTGAGGTCAAAGTTAGCGTTAGAATAAATTTAAAAAAAACTTTAACGTTCCAGTGCATATAATATATAACTTTCTACGTCTGTCAACCTTGGCTGCATTGTTCATATGCACACCCTTGCCAATCTACTACATGTGGATGCCTTAAGCTTAATAAAAGAATTCGCTCAGGAGAAAAGGTCAATCAAAGTGCATGTGAAAATATTGGTTTTCAGTCGATCTGTGCTACTAAGAAGGAAAAATTTCTCAGCAATACATTTTTTCGGCCTGGTACCTTTGTGAATATAACTTGTTTTGGAGAAGAAAGGTGACTCGTGGCTGCCTGGTATCCGACACAAGACTTTTTGAAGGAACGTGTGGCATTCTATTGCTTTGCATTCAAATCTCTGATAAAGCATGGAGAATAATGGCTGAATTGTTGTCAACACTGTTCGAGACACTGACTTCCAACATTTCTGTTCTAAATACCCTAAAGTTAACCATTTGTTTTCATATTATATGCAGATCATAAGACATAGTTCTCCACTAAACTAGCAATGTCTGCAAATTGAACCAACCCTGTCTTGAATACCAGACAGACGACGGTTACTTTTATATATTTTTTCCTTGGCTGTTCTTTCCAATTCCACGTTCCAGGAGCTAAGCGGAAGGATGGAGCCAAGAAACGCAAGCTGGGTCGCAATCCCCGTGTGCCCTTCTCCCCTGCCCAGGTCACCACACTGGAGCAGAAGTTCCGCTGTACCCACTACCTGAGCAGCATCGACGTGGCCGAGCTGTCTGCAGCGCTCAACCTGTCCGAGAATAGGGTGAGTACATGGTATCGCGGTAACCCCCAAACACCCCAGGGAGCGAAGGCGCCGTAAGCCACGCCCAAATGACTTGGCTTCGTCTTCCAATAGCGTGTGCCTCCGTGGAAGCAGCAGCCAATTCCTGAAAGAAGTGTGCTAATGCTGGCCGTAGCCAGTTGATTCTGACATGGCTATACCTGGCTTGAGGTAAATGCTTGACGAATTTAATTTAGTCAACCTTGGTCACTATTTGCTCCCTTTTAGAGTTCGGGTTTCGTTGAGTAAGTTTAACATCCATACCTCGGACTCTTCAACGTTATTGTTTTGAAATAAAATGAAAAAGCATGAAAAAAGTTTTGCCCCTGTTGAGAAACAAAACCAGTCAAGTAAAGAAAGGACTGCATACATGACTGCATTTATCTCTTCGACACATAATGACGTTTCATGGAATTGGCAACTTGCCCTATCAAGACGAGTAGGTTTTAAAAATTCGACAGATACTCATTGGCCTGGATTATGTACACGCTGATACATTTGTTCCCGAAATCTTTTGAACTATGTAACCACTCCAGGGTTTAATTCATTCATTCTGATTGGGCTTCTCGCGCTGGGAATGCAGGCGTGATTGGTTTGTAACACACCGGATTTCTCTCAGTCTTGAATCCGGATACAGTCGGTGCTAAAGCGCATGTACCCCCATCGGATCCATACTTTCGATCCTAAAATCCCACCGATTCCCCCGCGCCGGGGAAATTTAACAAATCGACGCCATTTGTGGTTAATAGTTGAGATGATTTACGGGGCTATCCGTGTGAAGATATTGTATTAATAGATTGTGTACAATTCACCATTGTCAGCCGGTGGACTGTGGCGTGGTGGTATTTTCAGGTAAATTTCTTTTATCGTTTTCTAGTTACACAACCGTGGTTTTTGTGGGGTTGCAGCGGTGGAAATTGCATTCCTCAAAAAAATGGTGTTAGGACAAATGCATGCAGTTGCATTCGTAGAAACCACAGTCTGAAACTCAATCTCGTGTAGATTCATCATAATAGTGATATCAATCTACTCGGGCTAAATGAAGGAACAGTCCTGATTTTTAATCCTTTCTTATGGCAAGTCTCCGCCGAGTAATTAATAAAAAAACGCAAGAAATAATTTCAATATGCAATAACTTGCAACAAAACGTTTCTCATTAAAAGTCTTAACAAGTGCTGGAGAGTGCCAAATTTTATATTGGAAAAATAGCTTGCATCAGGAGCGTTCTCTAAACAACAACATAATTAATTGGCTGACTGTACGATGGTTCAAATATATATATATATATTAATATCAGCCAATGAGATCTTTACTTCAAATAACAGCCTACTCCATATCAGAAAAGTGGTCACAACACTTGGAAGCGATTGATATTCGAGCCTATTGCCTACGAATAGCAAATATTTGAAGGGCCAAGTTTCTTGTTCTTTCACAGTGTGATACGGAGGGTTAAAAAAATAATGGCCCTGCACTTTTGCCAGTCCTCTTCGTTGCTTGTTACTAGTGTGCATGATTCATCGGAAAGGACCGTGGCCTAATCAAAATTCTTGCCTAATCTGACTTTTTTCACTCAATGACATCGCGGGTAAGGTCTCATCTCTTCTAGAGCTCCTTATACATCGACTCGTCGAGCTGGCTGGCCGGAGAGAGGTTTGTGCCTGCGTCGTCTCACGTGTCGAAATATGGTTTCATCGAATCGACGATACGCGGAACTCGGGACTGTCAACGGGTTGGGAGCGTCATTGTGTTTCAAAAAATGCTAATTTTGCTATGGCAATCAGCAAAATATGATCATGGTCCTTAACAATGAACGATCATCCGAATACATGAAAGTTGAGAACTTGGCGATTGACCCAGTAGGAAAAAACTGGATAACTTGCATGTTATTAGATAATTGATATTTTCCTTGCTCAGAAACTTTTGAAGCCAGCTCATATAGACAGTCGAATCGAGAGTGGTGGTAAGATGGATACTTTATGGAAAATTGATGAAGTCTTTTTACTTTTAATTTTTTAAGTTGTTGATTGATATCAGGAGATACGTTGGTGGAATGTTGTTGAAGTCTTTATTGTCAGAATCACGCAAAAGCTGGGAGATAAGCGTTTAGGTTCGAAGACAAAGTGAGCTCCATGCGGCGAATGGCAGGCTCTCCAAATTTTAGCCTTCGAAAAATATGCTTCGCTGAAATCGTACGTGCTCAACCTGCTCTTTCGATCAATCTTCTCAAAAGTTGGGTCCGTTGTCCTACTCTGAGGATGGACTATAATCATTATGAATATGTTGCATACTGTAAATGCATGATTGTATATGCGTGAAATATTCGCGTATTTGTTTATCATTCTCTGTGTGTGGCTCAAACCAGGCTGGAGAAAAGAGAGCTTGGCTCACATCCTCAACTTGAATGACTTTTGTGACATCCTATATTCTAACCTGTTAATGTAATCGTAGCCAGCATAGGTGATGGCCACACTCCAGGGGCAACCCTCCGAGTGGCTGGATGGCCTCGCACGCTGCGATCTCATCACCCGATAATTGACTTATCGCCTTGCATGTTGTTAAGCCTGTTTCCTGATTATTCAAAACAGCAACGCCCCACCCCATCAATTCTCACTAGCAAGCCCCATAGCCGTGGGCAACCGAACCGGTTTTTTTTTTTTTTTGAAGACTCGATTATTCAAACGAGCAGTGAAAAGAATTTCTAAATGCAAATGGGTAATTTGTCACTCCTATAACCGTTAAGTCAACTCGGCGATAACCAGAGAAGTACATGTTTTTCGTATCACTGTCATAATAATAGTCGTCCTGATTCTATAAAGTATAATCACAGGAAAATATTCTCTAGCAATTCTATTTTATTTAGTAATACTAGAGAGAGCTGATTCATTCTAGTATCATTTTACGTAGAAGTTCATCTTTGTCGTGATTCGTGTTTCCTGCGTGTTGTTTTTTGAAAGTTGTGAAGGCAAATACTTCTGATTTGTTTACACCAGCAAAGCATTTTACACTCGCAAATTTATACAACTGCTCATTACTTTCGTGTCGGAGTTGACTGAGGGCACCATGCATAGTTAGTATGAGATTTGCAGTCAAGGATATCAGGCATACAGGGAAAATAATAATGATAAAATAGTTGCTGAATAAAGCACCACCGCAGGCAAGTCAAAGTGAACAGTGCCGTGGGCATTGGAAACGAGCCTTCCATTAGAAGTAAAGTCCACTTTATGACGGCTTGGGCAAAAGAACAGATGATTTATGTCTGGAAATTCAAACCAAAATAGCCAGAACCTTGACAGCCTTGGCCGCAGTCCCAAATTCCTCGGTAAATAATTACATGTACTAACACTGCAGGTGTTTTCATTGAACTCCCTCTGCAATTAAACACGTCTCATGGCATAACCGCAGTTTAAAGATCACTTCTGAAGGATTTCTCCCACTTAAGCTAGCTTCGTGTACAAAATAAATTTCCAATTTAAATTCAACATTCTAAATATGTTGGAATTTCAAACCACATGAACCACATTTCTATTGCGATTTGCGACTGTCTTTTGGGGAACACGTTAAGCGAAGTTACACCACTTTCTTATCAACACTTGTGTCCAAACTTGAGCGTTCGATGCGTCAAGGCCCAGACCAACAAACAGGGTGATAGTGTACAGCTCTTCAAAACAACACACAACCTATTAAAACAAAACACAACTGCCCGGGGGAATCTAGCGAAGTTAACTCGTTTAGTTCACTTCATTGAACCGCGGCATCGGGTCCAGACCCGCTGACTGTGGCGGGACGATGCGCGTATACCCGCCACCAAAAAAACACCGGATAAAGTCAAAAACGGCCCCCGGGGAAGGGGCC